GAGCATCGCGTGGATGTTCCTTTCAACCCTGCGGCTTTTTTGAGGGCTTCCACCCCCTCGGCGCGACCAGGCGGCCCCGTGGGCATCTGCGCACGTGCTGGCAAGCCAAGGCTTGAATTAGCGGCGCGGAGCACAGCAGAAGGAAGGTGAGATGAATTTACTGATCTTCAATCTGAAATCCTTGCTGTAAACCTTGCTGAAACTAAAAACTCCTGAGTTTTCGGAAAGAAGGGAGAGAGGAAAAAAACACTCCGTTCAGGCCGAGACTGAGGTTAATCTGAGTAGCCACAGGAACAGCAGGAGGTGTGGCTTCCAAAGATTTCCTCAGTCTCCAATAGGCAAGAAGGCTTGGTTAATACCCATGGTTACTCCTCATGGTTACTCCTCCCACACCTTCTCTTCGGAAACAACTAGATTCTTACCAACTCTTATTAGCTGGATTTATTGAGAGGGAGTACAGAAAATGTGGTACCAGGAAGCCTTTACTTTAGTACACCATTTACTTTTAAATAAGGTGGACATTCCTAGATTTTCTTCCTATCTACTTGTTGGTGCAGAGGGGAGATGGCTACCCAATTTCCAGATAAAATAGGAATGTGCAGATGCAATGAATTTGTAATATTTTGCAAACTGTCATTCTGTTTCTGAGGACTGAGAAGTCCATTATATCAGAACTCAGCTGTACATTAACTGAACTGAATAGAATTCTAGAACTTGGCAGCCTAACCATTCCACCTCTAAATTACTACCCAGACAATCAAAGGAGGACATATCATATCAGTATCAGGATTGCGGCCCAGATCCAGTGCAACTAAAACTACATCATCATCCTTTTACTTAAACATGTAGAAATATTTAATTCTCAATTGGGGTTGAGTGTGCATTTACATACATGGTACTTATTCTAAAATAATATTCATGGTATTATAAAAGGAATGTTTCGCAAGTTTTCTCTTCATTCCCCACCTCGCCCACCTTACTATAATATCTAGGTAATAATCATGAACTCAGAATTACTGGTTGTAGCTCCAATTTCTGAATTTACAAAAGCAAAGCTTTGAATACAGCAGGGACATGTATAAATTTTATAGCTATTGACATGCATGAAGATCTTGTGTTCCCATATTTAGATTGCAGGCAATATTTAATCTGCCTGGATTTACATAATAATTTTCCCTTTGTTGCTGATTTCCTCTGTCTAATTCTATGTAATTTCCATTATTCTTTCAAAGTGAAATTAATAAAATTTAAAAGAGATTAGAATCTTATATAGTGGCAGTAAAATAATTAATTATTACATATATTAGTCATATAAAAAGAAACCCTTCTCTTTGACAAAATTATCATATAATCTATTTCATCAGTATAACTCTCATACTATATCCTTGTACTCTATTAGATAAACATTAAATTGACATCAAAAGCAATTTGATGGAAATATGTACTGGGAAAATGCAATGTAGTATAATTCAAATTTTAAAGGTTAGGAAGTAGTTTTATAAATACTATGAGCGCAGCTCTGCTTTATAGCATCAGTAGCGCTCTTAAGAAATGCACTGACAGACCATGAAAATGCAGCAGAATCTGAATTGTTGAGGAAAGTAATTTTCTGAATTTTCGAATGTTATTTGCTGATGCTACTTCTAGTGCAAAAAAAAAGAATCAGACACAAAATGGGAGGGAGGGAGTAAGGGAGTGAGGGAAGGAAGGAAGGAAGGAAGGAAGGAAGGAAGGAAGGAA